AATGGAATGACTATATTGTCTTTGTCTATATTCAGAAAAGAGATTTATTGACAGGATATAAAACATTACAAACACATTACACAGACTACATTGATGTTTATAAATAGCAGATGCTATTGTATTGATTTAAATTTGTTATATGTAAGTATGGTTAGATGATGTCTTTTCATCTCCATTTAATTTAAAAGCATTTAAAGGAAAAATGTAGAATAGGGATATTTTTTGTTAAATGGAATGATTTAAATTGGTTCAGTGGTTTGCGTCTTGAAAAAAATATTGTTTATATTGTAATAATATTACTGTGCAGTAAAAATCTAAATTTTATGATTAATAATCTCATTTTTAAGAAGAGAACGTGAAAGTGTATGTATATATATATATATGATTTGGTTGCATTTATCTATATTGAAATAATAATTGTTTATTACTTAAATGATATTTTATAGAAGTTACAAAGGTTCATAAAAAATATCTCGACTCGGCTGTAAACAGCAAAGAGACATAAACAGTAAGCTAGCTGTAGGGAGACCGTAATAAAAGTTAGTAGAAGTAACTGCGTTATATTACATAGCTATTTTTAAACTCGATAATGAAATTTTTCTTTAGCAACTTTTTCTTGGAGTTTCCATACATACATATAGATAGCTTCGACAATATTAGCATAAGACCGCGTCATAATCTTCCATAGAATTTCGTTTCGCTTTCACTCGCCTCATTTACGAAAGGGCGATAAAGATTTATACATTTTTCAGACAAGCGAGGAAGGTGAAGTTGGATTTTGTTAATCAATAGATTTGTTTTGATTATACTATTGATATTTGATCTTTTTAGGAGGATTTCTATATAATAAGCATTTGGAAGGGATTGTTTTCACAGGAAAATTGAGTGTTGTTTTTCTTCATGCACATGCCAATGAAATCGTACATCGTAATTTACCGAATAGATTCGTCTAATCTTCACTTCATTTATCTAGTAGCATAGATGATAGAGTTAAGCTCTATTTAAGTGTGGAATATTATCATTGGCATATTTAGGATAATTATCCAGAGGAGACATGGCTTCTTGAAAAAGGTGCGTATATACTCTTTGATATGATATCTTAGTGCTTCTTTTGAATCCTGGGATGGACACGGCCCATCCATCTTTCCCTTAAATAGGCTTATGGCTTAATGTCATTGCTGGGTTTGTGGGAGAATGAGAAAGCAAATCTGTGATCCAGACGAAACTCAGCACACACTCCAGCGAAAATGTGAAACACGGCAAAATCTTGGTAGTAGTTCGATGGACTTTATGACAGATTTGTCATGTCAAAAAAGGGCAGCTATATGTATATACGTTTTTTTATAGAACTTAAATGATCAGATCATAACTTCATTCTTAATGATCAAGAAAGTAATGTTAGTATGTAGGTATATGGTAGATGGATGGTGCAATTTGTAGCATAAACGGCTTGTCAGATTTGAATAAATAGGTTTATATTTGACATAAAATTATGAAATATGGTGTTGTCAGATTTGTTTTAATAATGACAAAACTATATGATAACATATAATAATATAAATTTGGTGGCCTTAAACTGCCACGAAGTTTTAATACGAGTATTATGCAGTAGGGTAAAAGTGACGTCTCGTTATTTCTCTAAACCTATCTCTTAATATTTTAATTTGATAGTTTCGTGAAATTATTATTTTATAGACCATCAAAAATTTAATTTATAATAATTTTGACTTCAATCTAATAGAAATTTAATTAATATTGGTCCTTAGAATAAATATTTCGCTGTGATATCGATCTGAAATTTTAATTTTAAGGTTAGAGGAATGACTTCTCAGAATCAACCCCAGTGTTATACACTAATATACGTGATTAGGCTGCGCGATTTGTGTGAAAAGTATAACATTTTATTTTTTATTTAAATATGTTTTGAAATGTATTGGAGAAATTTTGTTTTAATTCTTGTAAAGTCTATAGAGGTATATAATTACAGTAAATTATGTAAATATGTAAAAAATGAGGTATATAAAATGTAGAAGATAGGATAATGGGAGGAGAAAAAGTACAAATAGATGGAATAATTTTTTTTTCGTCATTTACTTTGTGGCGCATGACAAAATGTAGTGAAAATGATACAAGTTTGTGATTGACTAGAATATTTGGTGTTTGTATAAAAATCAAAATTCACGTCTGGCGACACTGCTTTAAATATGTTGTTGTAGAGTAGGTGTTTGCAATTAATAAGCTTAACTTCCTTGTAATTTTGTCATAATTGGGATCGATTACTTTGTTGAATAAAATCTTATATTACAGTGTAATTACTTCTTTTAAAGTGGGAAATATACTTTGGGCATGTTACTTTGCATTAATGAGGTTCGGGGTTCGATTTAGTCTGCAAAATTGGAAAACGAATTTATATAAATTGCCTTGGGTCTGTGTGTTTGGGCTCGTGTCCCCAGGTGTTTGTTGTTCTGGTAAATAGTATACTCTTCCCAAATGCTGTTATACTGACTACTTATTATTTTTGTTATAAACTTGTAGATCGTTTCAGATATAGGTAGACATAAAGTATTGAAAATGTAATAGAGGTCAGGTTATATAACGTATTAGATGACCCGCCATACGATGTTTTGCCACCTTTTGCTGTATATATGAATATATATATATATATATATATATATATATATATATATATATATATATATATATATATATATATATATATATATATATATATATATATATATATATATATATAGTTTTTATTTCGATAAGAAAAATGGACACATAGGTATCGAATTCATTTCTTTTAGTGAAATAAAAACTATTCTATCTCTCATGTAAATAAATAAATAGTAAATAAGACTATTATCTGAGTTGTTAACATGGGTCTCCCTCATATTCTGCCATAAGAACCGCTCCTGACCCGCCTGCTTCCATTGACTCCCCGCAATGCATTTGAAATCTTCGCCCTATCAAGTGTGAGGTCGTTCTACACAGCGTTTGTTCATACGGGTTTGTCACTCAAGAATCTTTTTTTCCCATTGGTTCTTGGTTTTTCGAGCTATGTGATTAGTCCGTTACTACTTCAGCTTGCTTATTCTTATAAATAAAGTAGATAATGTACATTTACAAAATTTTATTATAATCAGTTGAGCGGTTTCAGAGATTAGCTTGAATGAACATTGTTGTACCGGATTTCTATATACAAAATATAATGGATGTATAAAAATAATGCCACTTGCATTGCATTCTTGAAGTTATTTATAATCCTAATAATACATATAAAAATAATAATCAGCAGCATATCAGCCACTAACTGTCCATTGCTAAACATAGGCTACCCTTAAAAGGGGGGTTTTGCCAGTAATTGTCACGCATTTAATGATATTTTGGATGGGATATAGTGATATTTTGATTAAGTTCCCTTAGTCACCTCTTACATCTACTGGAAAGGAAGGGCTGGCCCATTTTACGTGAGACCACGTGGCTATTACTACTAATAAGTATATTTATAATGATTGAGAATGTTTCAGTGGAATGGGTAGGTAAGTAACAAAATGTGTTTAGGAAATTAGGCCTTTATTTTTGCTGGTATTATATTTCCATTTTGAACTTCACATCAGCTTTAAATTGTCCACTGCTGAACATAAGCCTCCCTTTTAGGGGTTTTACCAGTAGTTGCCATGCTTGGCAAGCGGATTGGCAATCGCAGTTAGGCTTTGGAGATGTTTTAAGAGAGACGCTGCTGCACATCCTTTGTTCTCCCTTAGTCGTCTCTTACAACACCTACGGGAAAGGAAGAGGTGGCCTATTTTATGCCGGGATTGATACGGTATAATGGATATAGACAAAATGGACAAACTACTGAAACAATTTTGATAAAAATTTTATAGAACTAATTAGGATATAAAAAAAAACATAGTCGGTTTTATAAATTAATTTGTTAAACAAAATAATACTACACAACTAATCAGTAACTTAACCTAACTAACCGCTTACCATCAGTTGGGTTGTATGCTTGTTTGACAACTCAATGGTATAAAACAAACTAGTGACATGAACTTCTGCAAAATAATACCTAGTTCGTTAAAATAAAAAAAAATTAAAGGTTTTATAAATAATAGACATATGAGGTAACTAATATAAAAAAATATATATAACTGAGTTGTGAACCATCTTCTTTTTTGAAGTTGGTTGCACATAATCAAATTAATATAATGTGTTCTCGCAAAACCCCAATTAAAAATATTATGTCATTGATGTTAAGAAATTAAAATAGTGTATTTAATATTTTTAAGAATTGAGTTACTTTCAACAGCCACACAGACTATGTTGAGAGCACAGTTAGTACGTATAAATAAAAATTGAGCATTTAGTCATATGAAAATATAATTTATACCTGGCCATTTTATAGACAAAAGGCGTGGTATTATAACAGCTAGCAAGTTCATTTGCAAGGGATCCGTATAAGCCTCTCTGAGCTTGTTAGATTACCGGGCTCCGTCAAGGAATCCCTTATCTCGTGCGTGATTGTTTGACGATACTTTGATATGTATGAGAGACAGTATTAAATTATTTGAGGTTTATGGTATAGATATTTTTATGCAAGCTGTAATGGCAAGTATGCCATTCCAACTTGATAAAATATAGATTATTATCTAATAGGCTACTTGATGAGAATCTGTAACCGTCGCTTGTAGAGACGAAGCATCGTGGACATTTTATAATACACTGTGACATTTAGCATCTCTGATGTGTTTACTATTATTATTATTTAAGATATACCAGAATATAAAGAATGTTTAAAATAGTTTTGTCATAGATAAATATTTTTTTTTGTTTTCTAAACTATTTAAAATATCATTCGACAAACTTAAGTTTCGACATTCGAATCTATATATTTCAGTTATTTATAAATTGTGCAATAAACAGTCGGCTTGTCTGCTATTACAAATCATATACATTTATTATTCAAGATATAAATTGAGATATAATGTGCGCAGGCGCAGGTCGGTGAGCGGAGGCGCGCGCGGGCGAGATGGCCGCGCCGGCCAGCTGATAGCATGCGGGCGGCGGCGCGCCTGCCCGCCCCAACCTAGCCGATCGCACCACATTCACGGGTGAGCATCTACACAACAAAAATAAACAGGCAAAGGGAGTTTATGTTGCCGCAAACAGTATAGTCCTATCTTAAAACTTGCTCTCTATGTTTAACAAACTTGTTGCGGTCGTATTTACTACTGATAGTAGAAACAATGGCTTCACTGTTTGTTGCTTCATATTTTTCGACTTGAACAATATTTTGTAACATTTATAGACTAAATAATTATGGTCTGTTTCATTTTAAAAATGCATTAAACGCACCTTTTTCAAATTCGAATTAGCTTTCAATTGTTTAAGTTTACGATTACGTATGTTATTAATTTAAAATATCATATTATGTAGAAACGTAGAAGGGCTTGTGAGGTAGCTAATAGAAAGTAGTGTAATATATATTTTTGTGAATGTTTAATGCCGGTCTGGCAAAAGATATACCTTTTTTATGTGTGTTTTGCAACAAGGTCACTCATATAATTGAATTGTGTGATCCGCACTATAGTATAGAAAGTAGCATGCTTCTGCGCAGGATTACGTTACGCTGACAATGGTCCTCGTCTATATATCGTATAAGTACTATCGTAAGCATGCGCTTTGCGCAGGTATAAAGCGGCAGTCACTGAAGATGGTAGACCCGGGCGGTTGCAGGGGTGACACCATATCAATGAGTAAGTATTATATTAAAAGGTAAGCCTTAATAATTATTATATATATTTATTTATTGTGATAGTATGACCTTTTTATTAATCAATGGCCATATTCTTATCTACATTGATTAGTTAACGGCGCATCTTGATAAATTCAATATGTACAGAATTATATGGTAGATATTTTTTGAGAAATACATTATATAACCGACACTGATGTGAGGGTGTATTATGGATGTAAAATGTAAACTAAATTTACGTATTCAATTTCTATTTATAGAACCATAGAACTCCTAACCTTTACAGCATGTAATATTTTATGTATGTAATATATATTTAAGTCGGCTTTATATTTTTGATATTTATTGTTTATTTTTCTTATAGCTAATTGTTTTTTTAGACAGATAAGTCAATAAAAATCCCTAAAAAAGACAAAAAAAGATTAGGTATATCCCTAATTTCGTATGGTAAAGGTTTTAATAAAGCCCTAAAACTAGATACCCGCAAAGCAATAGCATTAAAAATCCTCAAAATGTTTTTGCAGCAAATTATTCAACGTACACAAATTACACAAATTTATTAGAACATTATATATATATATATAATTACATATAGTGCTCAGAAATTGCAACCTATTAGAGTACCTCTTATGTGTGGGCGTCACAATATATTCTTTGATTTCTATGGTGGTATTCATGTACAAAGGCGACAGATACCTATTACTTAGGTGGCCTGTCAGCTTATTTGTCATTCCTAGTTACGTAAAAAAAATATCCAATTACATTCATAAAAACTTAAATACAGGCTATTCAAATTTTAGACTTTTATCAGACCTATAACTTACTTCTTACAATAAACTCACTTTATCTTGCTAATCAATTCAAAAAACTTTCAGTATTACTTTGAGTTTCCATACAATGAATAAAAAATTTCCTCATCTTTAAGTGCTTAAATTAAATTTGAAGTAGAGGAAGCTGTAATAAAATAGACTTATTTAACTTGAAACGAATCTGCATGTTGTCTCGAGGTAAGTATAGGTATATCATAGGTAGACATTTATACTCTAAGTTGTCTGTAAATTCATTACAATACGATCTATAAAGCAGATTTTTTATGCAACTAGTCTATGTACAAAGTCCCCCCTCTGGTAAAATTTACATTAATACAGATCAGTGATTTTGGGCATCAAACTGTTAGTACATAGAGCCATCGATAGCTATTCAATCTGAATCAAGGAGATCGGTGTCCATGTATTTTGGCGTTTTAGTTCGGTACAATCCCGTAGTATGTAAGAATTAGTCTTTTGTGATTATTTTTCATTCTAAATTTTAAAGTAGTAACGAAAAAAATTCGTTCTGATGTTGTGCAAAATCGGATAGCACTGATATGCATATATTATAATCTACTATGGTTCATTAAGAACTCGGGTACCATGACATGGTATTATGTAAATAAGTTCATACACGATTTATGTATTTAACCAATTTTCTTACCGTCCATGTTAAGCAGTTACTGTACTTGGAACTTGAGCTATTTTGACTGGCATACCTACCTACTCAAAGAAAATTTGATCAGGTAAGTATGCCAGTTAAAATGAATAGATAACTAGGGTACAAGCAATATACAAAATTATAAATTATATAAAATTCTAATAAACTACACTGTCATATACGAGTAGTACTGTAGTAGTGTGATGAAGTGTATTTTATGAAATGAGTTCTTGGCGTTAATATATACAAATTAATGAGTACATGAGTTCTTACAGAACAGAATAATTACATAGACCAGAGTACATATACCGGGGAAAGTATAGAAATGTTTTATATTGTTTCATCCCTTTGAGTATATAGCAGACCGCTCTCAAAATTTCATGCCATTAATAATTTAGTCCCTGATCAAATAAACATTTACAGTTGAGCCGTAAAGGGCCAAGAGGTAACAAACAAACAAACTCGCTTTCGCATTTATAATATCAGTAAGAATTAGACGGTAATTTACTAATTGCAAAAATGTATTAAATCCACGTATTAATTTTATCTTACTTTATTTTTGTTATTATTGCGCTTAGATTTCTCATTATTTGTGGTCAATATTGTATTTGTATGTAAATTACTGAAAATTATGCGGCAAAAGCTACAGGTATGAATTAATTATATTTCTAATATGGACAATATTCTAGTCTTATTTTTTATCATTGAGGTCAAATGTTAGACATCATTTCCTTTATATATAAACGAGTAAAAGTATTAAGGCAACAATTTATTACATTTTTTTAGTTGTTATCGCACAAAAATAATATTAGAAATAGGGATGATAAGCCCTTGGGAAATTCTTGTCGATCATATTTTCCATTCGTATGTTCATATTCTTAAAATTTATTTGCTTTTATGAGTTTGCAATCCCAGAGCCATCAGCTCTTCGTTATTTAGAAATAGCCCATTGGGATGTGTATTAATAATTTTGTTTTAATAGGTTTTTGGTATTCTTTTACCCTGGTGAGGTTATAAAGATAAGCATCTTTCGTTATATTTCAAGTACAACTGTAAAATTATCCTTCCTGTACTGGTATATTGGTATATTAATTATTATATTTTGTTATTTTTATTATCTTATGCAAATGATTACCAAACTTAAATGGTAAATAGGTTTATAGTTCACCTAGTAGAAAATAGTAATCGTTACCTTTAAACATTAATAGTAGCACAATTGAATGAACTCCATCGCGTCTTATGCGTTGCCATTCCTCAGGATTAATGTCTCCGTAGTCCGTAGGTACCCCGTAATCCAATCCATGCAGAATCTACTTTGCAAAATCTCCTTTTAGTTTTGTTGGGGTGTTAAATAAAATATATTTTTTTCAAATTGTAACAAATACGGATTTGTAGTGATCTTCTATCGTTAAAGAAAAAAATGTAGGTATGAGTGTGGATAAAAGCTACTCAAGTTAATCCAAGGTATTGTTCGTCTGTGTACCAAATTTATTTTATAACTCTTTACACATTTAAACATCTAAATATTTTTATAAACTTTTGTATTTATAACATTAGTACGAAGTAGAAGTTGGACATGAACTGGTATATAAATTTTTGAAATTAATAGGTGAATGACGCCATCCAATTAATGTAATAATAAAAGCGAAAGTTTGTAACGACGAATAGATGGATATTTATTACTTTTTTACGAAAAACTACTAGACAGATTTGAATAAAATTTGATACGCAAGTAGGTTATATCCTATAACTTAACACATAATACTTGAATTAGTTATTAAAAAATAAATAAATTCAATATGACTAATAAAATGTAGGCAAGGAGAATGTGTACTGTAATTAGCTGAAATTTTATTCAGAATAAAAAGAAATGCCTGTTCAAAAATGCTTAAATTTAGTTTACTTGAAAAAATAATTCTTTTTCCTTTCTTTATAGTATATTTCGCACACTAGGAACAGAACACACAACTTTCCAAACTGAATTTTTTTGTATAACTTAAGGCTTATTGTATCAACATAATTCTAATTTACTGTCTGTTACAAGAATTTACACCGTAAAATAGAATGACAGGCGTTTACTTGTGATTACTTAGGCTTTCGGTAAGACCCTTCACAATCAAAGTAAACATCTCAGCTGTTCTTTGGAGGGATTAAGAACAGATTGATATAACAGTACACATTTAATTAAAAAAATGAATATATTCTAAATTACCTGAAGGGTAATTTAGAAGTTTTCTGCATTGATACTTTTGTTATATGATACAAATCAAATCAATTGCATAGTGCATTATTATAGATAACTGTATCTATCGCCTTAAATATTGACATCACACGACATTTATGACAGCTACACTTGACCTAACAAATCACATAGTCTCTGTTAATGAATGTTACTCTAATCTGTATAAACTGGAACATCGTGCTTATGACGAGTTAGAAATAAACCTATATTGTATGTATAGTCAGATTCAGTAATATAATTTAATACTTTTCGATGAAGATGATAGTAGTAAGATGTATTGTTATGCAAAATTAGGTCCCAAGTTCTTTACTTGATTCCGACTGACTTAGGAAGCGAATTTTTACAAATTATCTTGGGGATTGCGTATTATGTCCAGATAGTATAAACCACGAAGAGATGCCAAATACAATAATCTCCATTTCATATTTATTCAATATGATTTTGATTTTATTTTAATTTAATATGTAGTACAGAATAATCTCTGGTTACATTTCTATGTGTAGTTTAGAGGTTTATGCTTATTTATTTCATTTATTATTTATTGAACACAAAAAAAAAGTGTCCGGTATAAAAGGTGGACTTAATGTTATGTTCATTAATGCATTCTCTACTCAATTCATATTTGATAGTGAGCAACGAACACCTAAAACAGTGATGATAAAGAAATGTAAATGTATACGCAAAATGAATGAATGCATTTATCTTCATAGAATTTTAGTCACGTATTTAATGTAGCTCTGTTAATAAGGAATCGGATTTTAAAAGTAAAATATCCAAAAATAAGTTTTCTCTTTGAAGTGTGTTTATTTATAATGTGATATAAAACTGAGTTTTCCTTTCTTACCTTATTTGAAGTCTCTCATTAATGTTCATCATTGCTTGGCTCGAGCGTGATGCTTATTAATTTTTATAATGAAACGGCCCACGGCCTAATTAGGCATGGGCTCGAGCGGCCTGTAAAACTGCCTCGCTGTAAAGTTTGGAACGCTCCCGCGACGGCCAGCCCAGCTGTGTAAGCACAACAGGAGACCCATAATACAAAAAGTTAGTGCTCGACCTTAGAGAGGGTATAAAAATTTTTGTGGAACACTATTTTACTTGGAAAAGACTTTGAAAAATGTATAGATTTTTCATTAAGTTGACATAATTCATGAAGTTAATAAATAGGTTAAAATCAAAGTTCTCAGCATCCCTTTTCAAAGTGTTCTAATAATGAAACTTCCCAACACTTCCCATATTAGTGATCAATTTGATATGCGGTGTTACTAAGGGAGGTTCAAATTTCTTTG